CCTAAACACCTTCTTTATGGAGTTTTCCTGTATTCCTTAGATGTTTACGCATTGTTTCATGAGAAATATGAAATTTCAAGCTCATTTCACGAGTGTGTTGCCTTGGGTTAGACTCAACAAGCGTCTTCAGAACATCAATATCAATTCCAACATGTAGGCTCCTGCTATAACAGTTTTTAAGGCTAAAGTCACCTGAATGAAATTTGCTGAACCATCTTTGAGACTTACAATTGTTAAAAACATTTCCATAAACTTCTTTGCTATTCTTTGTGGCTACAGAGGCATTGTTTCCCCTTCTTGTATTCAAACTGCATAACATGCTGAATGTGTGTGTCATTGTGTGCCATCGCTATTAGGGATTAGAGTATACTAAACTGGACACATTATATAGGCTACACTAAAGTGATGTTTAGGTGGTTCATTCAACTATTGTATGTGATGTGCATTTTTTGGGGGGTGGTTAATGAAAGTGTTCCAATACACGACATTAATTTCTTGATGACCTAATAGTTTAATAAAATTTTGAATGTAAGACACTAAAACCTTGTGTCATGCACAGTAAAGGATACCTGGGGTGATAGGGTTAATGGCAATGGAAAACAAAATAATATGGATTAAGTTAGGGAAAGTACAGCCATTGTAAGAAAAGGCAGATGTCTTGTACCACATGAGACTCCACAAACACAAAACATAAATGGAAAAAGCCGTGTACTTACCCCAGGCAACAGTTCACGACATAACCAAGACAGTTACCAATTCGAAATGAGACCAACATGGTATGAGTTCACCAAGATGAAGCTTCCAGTCATACCTCTTTTTCAACTGTCACATAGCTCAAACAGCTAGAGAAAGAAATGGGAATTTATACTATTCCATAAAATGACAATTGCACTATTGAAACATTTGCTGGGAAACCATCTTTGCACAGTAGATGGATTGTGAAAAGGTGCAGGTAATGGTGGTATGCTTTGGACATGACAATCTTATGATGGAGCTGTTTGAAATGTAAGCTACACTACAGGGGTATTTTCAGAATATATGGTTATCATACAGAGCCTGACTGAAAATGATGACATGGACCGTATTGACATAGTAAGACTCCAAAATCATTTTTAAATCTCTTGACATTTGTCCATGAATATATTGAGCATTTGTTTTGAATAGTCTGTGTGCAGTGATTTTCATGTTAAAATTAAAAATACTTTTCTTCATCTCAAAAATCTCAGATTTTGTTTGTGTAATCTAAAACCTCCTAAATGCATTCCAAATGTTTTTTTTTCAGTAAAACTTTATAGTTTATCTGTTATTTTCTCTATCCTAGCTCAAAATGGGATTGGTCAATTCAACCAACCTTGTAACCACCAAAAGAAACATCGAAATA